AAAGATTTTTCAAAATTGATTAATTGGCCCGAGACTGATTCATATTGTTTTAGGATATGCAATAGTACAGTCGCCTCTGTCTGTGTCGCTTTACAGAAGAATAAACTATCGTCTGCAAATAACATATGTGAGACCGCCGGACTTCCTCGTGCAACTTGCATCCCTGTAATAGATTTTTCCCGTTATGCTTTCCTTAAATTTGAAATTAATACCTCTGTTCAGAGAATAAAAAGATAGGGCGACAAAGGGTCCCCCTGCCTCAACCCCCTTTTTGGTATAAGGTTTCCCCGCGGGTGACCATTAATATGAACCTTATATTGCACTGATTCTATACATCACATCATCCATGTGATCCATTTTTACGCAAATCCCATCTTACGGAGCAAAATCTCAATAAAAGGCCATTCAACCTGATCATAAGCCTTGCTCATATCCGTCTTAACCGCCATGAAAGTCGTTTTACAAGCCTTATTTGTCCGCAAACTATGAAACATTTCTTGTGCAATTAAAATATTATCTGATATTAACCTACATGACACAAAGGCTGATTGCGTTTCCGAAATCAAACGTGGTAACAATCTCCATAAACGTTGACATAACACCTTTGATATTATCTTATATCCCACATTACAAAGACTGATGGGTCTTAGCTCCGTCATTTTAGTGGGCCTTTCCATCTTCGGAATCAGAAAAATATTTGTTATGTTTAATCGTTTATCAAAACTCCCCGAGTTTAAAAAACTATTCACCATATATATGACATCACCTTTTATAATTTCCCATGACTTCTAGAAAAACAAAGCTGTCATTCCATCAGGACCAGGGGCCTTTCCTGGGTGCATCATAAAGAGAGGTTCTCTCACCTCTTCCCCTAATGCCTTTTTAAGTAACTCTTCATTCTCACCTTCTGTAGTTTCCGGTTTTATTTCCCCTACGGCATCCTCGAAGGCCGTTCGCAAGGTGGATGTAAATAGTTCGCTAAAATAATCTACAGCGACCTTCTCTACTTTATCTTCCCTTGTTACCCAAGTACATTGGCTATCATGGAGCCCAACGATCCTGTTAATCGTTCGACATTGCTCTGTTGTTGCATGATAAAACTTTGTATTAAGATCCCCACATTTATTCCATAAATTCCGACTTTTCTGCTGCGAGAACTGTTCCTCATCTCTATACACATCCTTTAATTTTTGGGTTATCTCATTAAGTTCCCCTTGTGTACGGGTGTCGTCTGACTGAATATCCTCGAGGTTCCTCTGTAATTCCTCAATCTTATCTCTTCCATATGGTTTATTTTTTCTGTCTCCATTTCGATATCTCGTGTCTATATGTTGCGATTCGATCAACTAATGAGTTTGTTGAATCAAACGAATCATATCTACAACCTCGTGTTATTGCATCCAGCCGCCCATCTTGTCCAATCCACCTTTTATCAAACTGAAACTGTCTCCGTCGTTTTATTCTCCTTGATTATATTGTCGCCACATTAGGTATATGATCCGACCCAATCATCCTTAGATACTCTATATACGAAAAGGGAAATGACTCATGCTAATCATTCGTTTCTAATCCTCTATCTAATCTACACCGCACATTTGCCCGCTGTGCCAACCTTTCCAAGACAATGTGTTCCCTCTATTTGGCAAATGAATTAGCTTACAATTACCAATCATTGTATTAAAACTAACAAAGGAAGACGTCTGTCTAATTGCACCCCCTTCCTTTTCATGATTTCCGGTAATTTCATTAAAATCACCAATTAAAAACCATGGATCATTCCTTGATAAACTTGTCCTTGTTATTTGTTCCCAAACCTGATCCCTCTATTTTGGAACGGGATCACCATAGACAAAGGATAAATAAGTTTTGTTGCCTTCAATATTTGCTGCCACATCAATAAGTCTATTATTTGAAAATAAAACAGCAACATCATAAGTTTTATTATAAAATAAGGCAAGTCTACCGATGGCCCCACGCGGTTCTGCCGTGTACAAAAGATCATAACCAAAATAAAATTTAAATTGTTCCAAAAAAATAAGAAATCAGGTCTAAACTTCTTCCATAATTCTCTAAGGTAGCTCTTTGTAAACCTGTTACCCAATCCTTGGCAATTCCAGCTTAAAACCCTCATTAAATAGCGTTTGATGTGTCTAGTTCCTCTGTCGGATCTTTATTTTCCTGGGCTGAAGCTTCCCCCCCCCCCCCCCCCCCCCACGTTTGAAGTTCCTAATAGTAATTTTCTTCTTTGGAGTTGTGGCATGTAGCATTTTTTTGGAGCCTCCCCCAATAGCAAAAGAGCCTTTGAAGAGCTTCTTCCTTACTCCCATTTTAACCTTCTCCTTTGGAACCTCCACACCAGTTTCAATCACTTCAATTATTCCATTATCATTGATTCGCTCATTACAGTTGACCAATTCCCCATCGGCCTCCATTATGACTCGCATATCAATCTCTTTCTCAAAGACCTCTTCCTCAATCCCATTATTCTCTACCGCGACATCGTTACCCATAACCCCATTGTCACCGCTGTACTCGGTCAGCAAATCTGTGTCATCCTCCAAACCTGCATCCACGCTATCCTCTACCAAGTTCCCCGGTTCCAAAATAACCATTCTATCAATCATATTACCAAGTTCATCCGTTCTTAGGACCACTTCTTCAAAATCAATGCCCTTTCGTACCTTCTTTGCTGAGTTCGCAGACAGGCTTTTCTTAGCTGCTGCTTCGATTATCTTTGAATGATCCCCCTTCTCCTCCACACGTATATCCCCTTGTCTTAACTGTCCTCCCATGTTCATGTGGATACCCCGTGTAGCCCCGCCATTGTGCCTACGTTCTCTTGGATGGTTATGTCGTGATGGCATCCTGAGACCCGGTATTGTCCCCATGGTGCCTCCCATTATCCCCCTCTTTGTGTTGCCCTCCCTTGTCCTCCCGAAGGTCCAAGGCTATCCCCTTCCTGATACGAAAACGCCTAAGAAATTTGCACTCCAAGGTGGTAGATGGATAATCCTTGACTTCAAAGGAGAACGTGTAGTAAGAACCTTAGAATCGCAGTGTTCTAAAACCCAATACTCTCATCGCTTCAAAAGAAACAAGGCGGTGGAACCTTGATAAGAAGATGGCGTGTAACTAAAAACCTCAGGATCGCAATGTCCTAAGACCCAAAGCTATCTTAAAACAACAACTCAAATCTCGGAGGTGAATGGCACCACAAATGATGATGGAAATCACTTGATAAGCCAGTTGATTGCTTGGATGAACACACAAAGTAATCGCAAATGTTCACAAGGAACAAATGAGAATCACTCTCACAAATAAGAAGAAAAGTCTTTGATTAAAAATTGGTTGTGTTCTTAAATGAGATTACATGTGTTTAAATAGAAAAGAAAGGAGCAGGCAAAGGGCCAAACTCGTGGTCAAAGCAATAACTAAACAAAGACTGAATAAAAACTAAGTTTGAATGACTCTTGAGCTTCAAAAGTGACTCTTGATGTAGCCTGATTTTTGGATTGCCCTCGAGGTTTGGAGTGATCGAACTAAAAATACTGAAGTGTTCGAATTATTGCTGTAGGGGCAAGTTTCACCATTTGCTGATTTGGACTTAGTAACTTTGTGATCCATTTGCCTCATTCAAACCTTTCTTGGAAAACTCATTGGGACAAAACCAAGGATAAGGAAAAAGAGTACAAATGAACACAAACCCATTAGACCTCCTCTTTGACTTGGATCATCATCAAGACTTCTTGAGTTGAGTCTTCTTCATTCCAATCTGAGTTCTCTTTGGATGTGAACATTTGGTTAAGTAAACCTCCAATTCCTTGTATGAATCTCTTAGCTCTAGCACGAGTCAAAGGTCCAGCTGCTGGTATAAGCATTGCATCCGCAGGTTCAAGCTCAGCTTCCACAAGTTCATCCTTGATACTTTCCATGATCACATCACTTCCTCTTAGAAGATTCCGCAGCAGTAGTTGGCATTATGTTGCCAATTCCTCCTGAGCCTACTACGGCTCCTTTGTAACTCATAATTTCACCCCTCAGTACACCAACTCTGTCTCGGGTTTCATCCCTTCTTTCCCTTTTCGGATACAATCGAGGACACTTCCCAGATTCATGACACATACTACAACACTCACGGCAGAAGCCATGTAGCCGTTCATACCGGAGTATAACTGTTGTTTCATCGCCACCATGAAACGCCACTGACGTCTCGAAGATAAACTCTTTAAAACCATCCAGAGTGATCTGAACTCGACCACCATCCAAATCAACTTCACAGACTTCCCCAATAGCTTGGCCTATACTTTTGAAAGTCGTCTCTGCCCAGAAGTCCCCATCATGCGAACCCAAAAGATAAGAGTCGAGGGGTAATCGGGTTCCATGATTGGTTCCCATCGTACATACACAATCATCCAGCCATCGAAGTGGTATGGTTCCATCTGCAGTACCGCCGTAATGTCTTCCTCCTCATCAAAATCGAATTGAAACTGTCCCATGCCCAGATCTGCCCCAGAAACGCGATCCTCCACTTTCCAAATTATGGGTAACATGAATAATAAGGACTTCATCTCCTGCACCACATGATTCATACAGCACTCAATGAGAGTGCGGGAGTATGCATTGATGAGTTCCGTGTGGTCAAACTTTGAGACTGTAATCTTCAAGCGTGTTGCAAGCTTGTCCTTGCTCTTGTTGCACCCACCAGACGCTAATAGTGTTCTTTGAGACATCGTGAAGACTGTATTGCACAGAACAGTAAACAATTGTAAGAAAAAATGTAAAGAAAAAGCAAAGGATGGTATTTACTTTATCTCTTCCACCAATCGTTTCCTTTGTACTCAAACAAAACCATAAAGCGTTCCTAAAATTGTCATTTGTCAAATTCTAGCTATCTAATCAAATAGGACTTTTTGGGTTTTCCTGGTAGATACTATTCGTTGCACGGCCACGTCGAGACAATGCCATGAGAGGTTCTCCGAGGAGCAAATGCCTTCCCAGACATGGAAGCAACACTGTACCAAATACCGGAGACATTACATGAGAAGATACTTGAGAAAGTGAAGGCCAATCCGAGACTGGACGATGTACCGGAGATTCATGGGGAGCAACTGGCGGAAGCCGACGGATTCATCTTCGGGTTTCCATCGAGGTTCAGAGTGATAGCATCGCAGTTCATGACCTTTTTTGATAACACAAATGATCTCTGGACCTCACAGACTCTTGTCGGGAAACCCGCTGGAATCTTCTGGAGTACCGGTTTTGACGGTGGAGGCCAAGAACTCACTGCATAAGAAAAAACATAGTCCTGAGTAAACACATAGCAACGTCACAAGGTTTATAGTAAAGTGATTGGTTTCTATTAAAGTGCAGATTAACGACAGTGACAGAACTGGCTCATCACGGGATGATATTGTACCGTTAGGGTACACATTTGGTAAAGACATGTATGAGACGGGAGAGGCTAAAGGTGGTTCGCCGTACGGCTCAGGGACTTATGCACCTGATGGGTCACGCAAGCCGACTGAGCTGGAGATCCAGCACGCAAATTACCATGGCAAGTATTTTACAATGATAGCCAAGAAACTCAAGAATCGGTCTCCTGCCTAGAATTGAATCGGCTCTGTGTTTTCTTTCTGTCCTACTCAAAACTGTAAATGAATAAAGGAGAAAGGTCTAAAATAAAATTGACATATAGAGAGAAGAGAAACATGAGTAATCTTTGTGTAAACTAAACATGAAGAGAAACATTAATAATCTGTTTTCTTTACCAACGTTTGTGAAAATAATCTGATATGTGTAGTAGTAAACAACTCCAAGTTAGCAAAATATAACCCCAAACACTAACAAATCAAGCGACGGATTATGATTGCAAATGCATATCAAGTCCAAAACAAACAAAGAGCATAGTTAAGTTTGCTCAATCACAGGTCTATCTAAAAGCTAATCACCAGACACAAAAGTGTTTACCTTTTTGTCTTCTTTTTGAGAGCCACAATCTCGGATACCCTTATTTGTTTCTTTTAAATCTGATCTATCCTCTCATAATCTATACATACTCTCTTGGGTCCCATCTCAGTTTAATGAAATAGACAATTCTAAAAATACCTTTTTCTCAAAATTCAAACAATTAAATATTAAAACATAAATTGATTATTTTCTTCAAAATTTCGCTCTTTCCCCCGACCTCTTTCTGTCGCCGCCGCCGCCTGAGCCGCCTCCAACCCCATTAAAGCTGCATCCTGCATTGAAGCTGCAATTTCAAAATCTAGGTCTGAGTTCTTGTAGATATGTTGCATTTCATGTAAGATCAATGAATATATAAGTAGAAATCAATGAGGTTTATTGAAATCATTTAAGGGTTTGCAATTGCAGTTAGGAATTTTATTTGAATTTGATTTTAGGTGCATATTGTGTTTGTAAGCTAGCAGTATTGGTCGATTAGGACATTGCATTGATAATGAATGTATTTGTGTGGTTGAATCGTAGCGAATCCTAAGTAAATTAGAAAGAATTAAGGCGATAGAGACTGCAGCGATAGGAGAACTGGGTACAACTACTGCAATAGGTATAACTAGTAAAACTAGTATTACTGAATGAAAGGATTGAACCTGAAATCATCCAATTTTGTTAATTGAGTCATTGTATTGATTTCGCAGGAGGCGATGAACAATCATGTGAACGTAAATTTTAATTACAAAGATCACATCTATGGTTTAGCGTTTAAGATAACTATGGAAGATATGCAAGAAGATTGGGACAGATAAAAGAACGATGTCCAAGAACAAAAAACAAGAGGATCCTGAGGCGAAGTTTGAAGTACTGAGTAGGTCTCAGTAGTGATTGATATGTATATCTGTTTGTAATCAGTAGTGTTTAATTTGGGTATTACTGATATTATTGAGGTTTGTAACTGGTATTATTGAGTTTTGTTATCCATTTCGTGTATTTGACAGTTTCTGAATTTGAATATACAACTGGTAATACTAGTATTACTGATATTTGTAGATGATGATTTCAATGTGATAATCTAAATAAATCATTCACTTAAGACTGTGCGAGCATTATAAACCCAAAGTAAACAATAAAAACGAAGACAAGAAAAAAAAATTTAATTGTTAACTCATATCTTTGCTTTGAGGTAAAACACTTCTTCTAGTATAAGGTATAATTTATTGAATGTTAACCATTTATGATGCAAAAGTGGTAAAATGTATGATTTCGAGATATTATCATATCAAAATGTTTAAAATGATAATTTATAGTTACAAATGTAATGTACAACTAATTCATAATAGTTTATATGAAGGTTTAACTATAATTGCAATTAAACTGCAAAAGTACAATTATTAAGAACTTTGTACAACTCAATACTTAGGGACAACTATTTAGAAATTTTCAGTGCTATCCCAACAAAAAGAAAAATATCTAACAGTGTGGGCCCCACTATAAATCCCGACAGAGCTCATTTTTCTTCATTTTCGGACTTTTTTCATTTTCCTTCGATAGAGAGAGTGCACAAGAGAGAGAGAGAGAGAGAGACGAAAGGTAATTTCTATGTCGATTTCAAATTGGTAAATCTGGGGTTCTTACTGATAAATCTAGGTTGAATGCTGAATGTAGGGTTCTTATCGAATTCAATTTTGAAATCAGATTTATAAAACTAGGGTCCTTATCAAATTCAATTTTGAACTCAGATTTGTAAATCTCTTGTTACAGGGACTATGGATCCATTGACCTACATTGATATGAAGAGACACAAACCATCATTGTCTCCACCTTACTCTTCACATCTTGCATAATTATCGTTTTTTCTCCTCAAAATGCCTTTCCTCGAATTCATCAATGTACAACTTCTCATAATTTTCTGAGTATTCATGGCAGTTAAACCCAGACACAAGTGACAAAACTGCGGATGACTTCTGAACCACCCTAGCTTGTCTCTATCTTCTAGGCTTTTAGAAATCAGACTCACTGTATTCTTTACTTCACACTTGGATTGTATCTTAGGATAGTGAATGGAGGATGCATACTTTCCATATCCTCCTCAGAATTCTGAAAAATAAGTATATATACACATATTGAGTTAATATTTAAGCTCAATAATATTCAGGGTATTTGAGCATATGTTTCAACATTTAGGGGCTTTCCAGCCAAAAATCCTCTTTTTGAAGCTCATAAGCTCGGAGGTAGAGTTCACCTCTTACGGCATACTGACACTTCTTCAGGTTTTCTTTCAGAGCATCGTAGTACAAAGTCATTTTATCTTCACACTTAAAGACAATCGCTATCTCAGTTCAACCTTAATCGAAACAAAAGAGTTTTGTGTGAGAATTCATGAAGTCAAATCACCAATTCAAAACTAGGAAGCCAGATTAGATAAAACGAAACGATTATCAAAAGTCTAATTTTAGTACTAATTTGTAATCGTAAAGAATCACCTAAGAGTACAGAGAAAGACGATGACTTTTCAAATGGCAATTGCAAATCATTGATTAACTGAGGATTTCATGATCGATCCAAGAAGAAAGAAAAACTATTGAAGAAGAACATTGCTCGTACAGAGAGATGGATGCGACTCTTGTCATCGTTCTGATCCCAATTCGACGAGGATGCAAATATACGGGAAGATTGATTGAGCTCTCTTCGATTTCACCCATGAGAAAATCTATTTTCGTCCAAATCTGTCCTGATGGTTTGATGAATTTGATAGAACCAGTTGTCAAAAATTTATTTTTCTAAATTAAAAGTGTCATATCACATTTCTAGCGTGATATTATTTTGCACTAATTTTTATTGTACAAGCACATCAACTTTTTTTTAGTAAATGAGGGTTATTGGAAGAGGGATTTATGTAGATTTTGAGAATTTTGAGATTTCATCATTATTGATTTATTGATTTTTAAAATCTTACTAGATTTGTTATTAGTTTAAAAATTTTAAAATTTCATCCAAAATTCTTTGTTATTCAAAAAGTTTGGTTTTAAAAAAATTTTATGATTCTATTAAAATTTTTGACATATAGATTTTAAACAATTTAATTCATAAAACCAGATTTTGGAAGACTTTCAAAATATTATCTATATGACTTGATTCTCAAAATCATTATAATAAAATATTTTTATAAATTTTATAAATAAATAAACTCTTATCAAATTTAACAAGTTTTTTTAACAAATTTAACAAATCTCTTAACTCTTAAAATCAATCAAAATTTAACTCCATCTCCCAATAATCATATGTCAAATAATGGATTATTTTAGGGCTGATTTCCTATCACAGACCCACCGAGAAAACATTGGGATGGGCCTAAGAAAGGCTTCAACGATAAATAAAAAAAATCAAAATCAATTTCGGAATCAAAGTCGTGATTTGCTTCCACCCTTTCAATTTTTACGGAGTTTCGCCGAACCTGAAAACGTTGCGAGTGGAGGAGAGATGCAATTGCTGATGCTAAATCCGGCATCCATTTCCAGGACGGTGCCACAAACCCTAGAGCCTTCTTCTTCCTCTTCCTCTTCTCGTCTTTTCGCTTCTACTCAGGTGATTTCGATTATCCCACCCCTTCGATTCTCGATTCGCTCTTTGTCTCACGCTTGTTTGTATAGATGTCTACGAATCTCTGATCCGAATTTCGTTTTTCTACAGAGCTTGAGGTCCCAACGCGCTGTTTGGCCTCGTAATCCAATTCGACGGATATTATCTCGATCTCTCTCGAGTCGAAGATCGCAAGGTCAGAATAATTCTCTCTCTATCTCTACTATTTATGCGATGTCGTCATTAGTTTATGCTTCTGTGCATGTCGGAAAATAGTGGTGTATAAAGCTGTATAAAATTGTTGGTCCGGTGATCAAATAGATATTTATTTAAAGAAAATCTTGAACTTTTAATGAACTAATTGAGATTGGTGATTAGTATTTGTCTTGCTTGTCTCCATGAAACTTGGAAGCTCGAGTTTGATGTTTTGATTGCATTACTTTGACATGACAATTTTTCGTTTTCCTATGGCTTTCATCTGTTTTTCTTGTTGGATTTGCTTTAGGAATATGTACTTTCAATTCGAGTTTTGCGAACAAATAGATTTCTGGTTCTATCTAATCTCTCTCTCTCAGACATTATTAGGTTACAGCAGGAAAAGTTCTCCTATCTTAAATTCGACATCCATTTTCCCTAGATTTGAAACAGTATCTGTGGAAAAATATGTATTTAGGTATATAAGGTTGACTTCTAGATTTCTGTACAGTTGTAAAGGCAGTAGCAACCCCAGATCCAATCTTGGAAGTACCCCTGACGGAGGAAAATGTAGAAAGCGTTTTAGATGAAATCCGACCATACCTTATGTCTGATGGTGGTAACGTGGCATTACATGAGATCGATGGAAATATTGTGCGGGTCAAGTTGCAGGGAGCGTGTGGATCATGCCCTAGTTCTGTTATGACAATGAAAATGGGTATTGAGCGTCGTCTAATGGAAAAGATCCCTGAAATAGTGGCTGTGGAATCAGTTCCAGATGAAGAGACTGGCCTCGAACTGAATGAGGAAAACATTGAAAAGGTTAGCTTTTGGCATAGGCTCTAGGTTTGTTAAGTTCTCCGCATATGTGTGTTATATCTTGCTCAGACCCATGATTTTTGGTTCAAATACTGTTTTCTGCAACTTCAACGGAATGAAAAAAACATTCAGAAGGTTAGATTTTGGTATAATCTCTAGGGTTGGTTAACTTCTCTGCATATGTGGATGTGTGTTATCACTTGCTCAAATACATATTATTGGCTCAAATACTGTTTCTTCGCGCCTTGAACTGAATGATGAAAACAATGAAAAGGTTAGATTTTATGTAAGCTCTAGGTTGCTTAAATTCTCTGCATATACGGTTTTGTGTCATCACTTGCACAAATTCATATTATTGGTTCAAATACTGTTTTCTCCGCGCCTTGAACTGGATGAGGAAAACATCAAGAAGGTTAGTTTTGGTTACTTCTAGGTTGATTAAGTTCTCTTACAGTTCATTTTGTAAATGCTAGAGTCATGAAAGCGGGACTATAAGTTTTTGCTAACTGCTTGTTGTGTGCTTGTGAATCATGAACAAGTAGATGTTTTTATGTCTTAACCTTTTGAGTTTATGTGTGATGTTAAAACATTTTTGTGTACAATATATTGTTTAGGTGCTGGAAGAAATCAGGCCTTACTTAATCGGAACAGCAGATGGGTCGCTTGATCTGGTGGAGATCGAAGAGCCCATCGTGAAGATAAGAATCACAGGTCCTGCTGCTGGAGTCATGACAGTTCGAGTAGCCGTAACTCAGAAACTCAGAGAGAAAATTCCAGCAATTGCAGCTGTTCAACTTATATAAACACTCCTTGTATTGTCTCTCTTTCTTTATATTAGCAGCTCCATTGTATAGTGTTGTTGTGTATAGATACTTGTGTTGACATTTGGTCTTTGTCCCCAAAATAAGATTTGAACATTTTTGGTCAACTTAACCAAGCTTATTCGAAAGCAAGTCTATATTTTTTGATCAAGATTGTCTAGATTTTAATTTAGGATAGATGTTTTTATTTGTCGGCTGCACTAATACAAATCATCATCTAGGGTCGAGTTTGAATACTAATCGTTACACTTATTCATCCAAAACATTGAAAGACCATTGAATCTTTCATACTGAGACGACATTAAAATTATAAATTTCTTGTTTCGTCTTAATTTGAGAGTTTGTAGTATGGCTAAGCTCTAAAATTTTAAGCTGCACATATAAATTTCTGTCTTTAAATTTTATTTTATTCCATTGATTATTCAAGTTTACTTGTTTGTTGTGTCCTTCAGATAACAAGTCTCATAAAGTGTGCGCAAGAGCCCAAACTATGTGGTTGAATAAATCTTCCTCTCTATGTCCAAACATCACATGCCAGCAGATGTGGCTCAAGATCCATATGCTAACAAACTTCCAATGCATTTTTTTTTCTCCAACACAAAGGAATTGTTCACTACAACAATTGATGGCATGATTACTAAATCCGTACAATTGATACTAATTGCGTAGGAACTGCAAAAACTGAATTTAAATATTGTGATATATAAACAATTACAGATGATAATATTGTAAGAAGAAAGAGTAGAAACGAGATTTAAAAAAACATGATTTAAACAATAAACAATAACTAAAATTGAAAATTTGATTCTCTTTCCTTAACTAAAAAAATCGCCCGTAGTGAGACGGTTCTGTACGATTTAGAGTCCTAGGATACAACCGATGGGAGACCGTTTTGCAGCACTCAAAAACAGAATCTACGAACTTATGAAATTCTACTCAAACTCTCGAGACTTACTATGAACAGAAGATTTGCTGCAACGAGAAAGAGAGAGAGAGATATTTGTGAGAAAACTGTGTTAGGAATGAAAGTGCCGACTTGCTTTTATAGCCAAGGGGAGCCCGTTGAGAATCTTCTCAACTAATGACAAAGGCATAACACACGCAAGGAGAAATCGTGGGCAAAAAATCCGCTAAACATTATGATTCAATTGAATCAAATTGTTTGAATTTAATCCCATTGGCTGATTCTTTATTTCTTGGTCAAACTGTTAACAATTAATTTTAAAGTCTGAGCCCAAAATCAATTATCAAAATTCGGCCAAAAAAAGAATTACGGCCCGAAGGCCCATTCGACCAACATGACCCGCGCCCGTGCCTAGCCTGGCCTAGCTTGGCTTGGCTTGGCGGCGGCGCACCCGTGTGGCAGCTAATTGAACACTAGCATTAACTCTTCTTTATATATATTAGAGGATTTTCCTTGTTATTTTCGATGTGGGACATTTTCCACTTCCCCATCATTTACACTTCTCATTCCAATTGGGCCACAACCCATTTCTCTTCACTCTTCAGCCCAATTTTCCCAAGCCCAATGACTTTGTAAAAATTGGATCCAACAATACCCCACATGAATAGAAATGGCTCTAAACATATGACGACTCGAATTACCCTACTTGACTCTACTGACTAGACTTACTCCTAAGACTTAGACAGACGGACTTTTCGAGAGCTTAAATGAAAATTCACTGTGTTTGAGTAAGTAGCATTTTTTAATTTTGAACCACTCAGTTTTAATATATGTCAGGTTTACTCGGCCAGGAGGTGAAAATGATGTCTTGAACCATCCAGATTTTGATGTAAACCAAGAAAACAGATATAATACAACTTCATTTCTTGTAGAACTAAGTTCTCTATTGTGTTCATTTTGTCCTTGAACATGCCTGATTGTTCATGAGTGAACTTAGAGAATATAACATTACTTTCATTCTCCTAGAAACAGCCCCATTTCTCACTCACCAGGTGATCTTCTAATAACTTATCCAGAAGTATCCTGTTATACTTCACTCTTTACAAAGTTATTGAATCATTAAAAGCCAACGCTTAGCCTTATCACGTACAAGTATATAGCACTGTTTATCATCTTAGGAATTGAGTAGAGAACAAGTCTCACAGTGCTCTTTTCAGAATCCGTTTGATTTAGTTTTTCCTTTAAACTTAGATCTTGGGATCTCCAGTCACATAGGTGGGGTTTCCATCAAACTCCATCTTTAATTCATAGGCTTTAAACTCATTCATTTTGATGATTTTATAACTTGATCTCTTGACAAGCCTTTAGTAAATGGATCCGCTAGGTTGTCCGCTGATTTGATATAATCTATCGTGATTACACCACTTGATCTCGTGCCGAGGTAACATTTTCATTTCCCTCCTTTACTCTTTCCCTCCAGTTTTTGAATTCAAAACTTGGTCAAGGCAAGCATCTTTGACCATGAAAGATGTGCCTTGACCAAAACTTTTGTCAGAAAACCACTTCTTTTACCCATAGTTTTGTTTCTTGTTAGCCTTTAAATGTTTTCAACAACTTCACACTCTCTCATTCTGTTTTCTCGAACTTTTAAGCAAAGAGAGTGAGAGTTATTTGTTTCTAAAGGCAAACAAGCTTCTTTAACAATCTTTGCAAAAGGTATTTTCGGATATTTGATAAAAATCTTTAGGAAAATTGATATCCAATTTATTTGCAAGGGTGAGAATGCAATGAGGTTATCAAACTCAAATGCAAGACAGATTGTAGTACAGCAAGCAAGAGAGAGTCAATCCACACCTAGGATGATAGAGAATGCAAAGAGAATACAAGGACTAATGCAAATCTAAGCGAAACGAGATGAGTTATGAGAAAATTCCTAAAAACTAGATGCATCAACTTAAATGGAATGCAACCTATTTTAAAATTACTAGGAATGATGAAACTACCACGAGGAACAAACAGAATAATTAAAGGACAAAGCTTCGAATTACTAAAATTCGACTAGTGGATCGACCATGAGATCGACCACTAGATCGAGCAATAACAATCGATCTCGTCTAAAAATGCAAGAACAGTATAACTAACGACCAGGACGCTATCAAAGATCAAGCGAATGACGAGAGAAGATGTAAAGATGCTAAAAGAAAGGGCCTAGGGTTGAGATTCATGGTCAGGGGTTTCAAAGGTTCGACCTTGGGTTGAAAACTTTAAATCGACTCACTTTGTGAGGATCTCTAAGCCTTGAAAACTAAGCAAGATCTATCCGTGTCTTTCGGTATAGATCAGTCCTTCATCCCCTCCTCCAAACCCATGGCTTGGTGGAAAGAGAGGTCGAAGAGCATGGAAAACAGATTTCAAATAAGTGGCTTAACTAGTCCCCCAAACTTCCATGGCTTTTGGGAAGGGGTAACTAGTCTCTAGGGTGTGATCTTCCGAGGCTCCTGAATCCTGTCAAGGTAAGGAACCTCTCGGATCATGAAGCTCTTGGCGTGAGAGTCTTCAAGCATTGAGATCTCAACACCCTAGAAGAGATAGCCGTTGAAAACACTTAGAAAAACCCCAAGATCGAAACCCTTTAGACCCCTTAATCCTCTCAACCCCGAACCCAAATAAACTACTCACTACACATAAGGTAAATCAAGCAAAGCATGTAAAAGGAAACGATGAACATGAAAAGAAAACTAGATTAAGATGAAAACGATTCGATTACAAAGCTTAAGAAAAACTCAAGTTCGGCAATGGTGTTCTTCGTCAAAACCAGAGAGAAAACATACAGAAAAAGATAAGGATTGAAAGTTGTGTGGGAAAAGGACGTCGCCGCCTTCCCAAAATGGCCAAAACAAGCTGATGGTCCCCCCCCTCGCTAGCGGCCAAAAGTGGTTGAAAGGACAGAGATCGAATCCAGGATCGAGCAGTTCTCTTGATCATATCCGGACATCGTGTCTTCAGCTTGATCTGGGTCTCGATCATCATCGGCGAATCAAGTGTAGCATCCGATCTCGGTATCGATCTTCGGTTGGATCGAGTGGTGTACTCGATTTGGCTCTCGCTCTGCATGGCGTCATTCACGTCCGTACCGTTTGATCGACTGCTTCACTCGATCCTCGTCTCGATCATTCTCCTTGGATCGCCTGGTTGGCTCGATCTTCTGGTCGATCACATCCTAGATCGACCGGCCATGCTCGATCTGCTCCTCGATCTCTGATCCTTAGCAAATATTCGAGCTTCCACGAACTGCTACAATAGCCTCAACATGTCCACGAACCTCCACGACTCCAAAGCAGCCAGAAACAACCTAAATGTGATGCAAAATGCAAGGAACATGTGTATGCTGGTGCAAGAATGCTCTAGGACTCTAAGTGATGCAATCTAACCTAAAATGTGATACAAATGCATGAAAAGCTAACTAATGAATATGCAAAATGTATGTAATATGCAGTAACATCAACTCCCCCAAACTTACTTCTTGCTTGCCCTCAAGCAACAAAAAATAGGTAAGGAAGAGAGGTTTTCAGAAAAACGAATGGGGGTTTAAACTTCTTGCAAAGGTGCCTTTCAAATGAATCAATCTCAATGTCCTAGTTAACAGTTCTAAAATGCTATGCTTACACTCATACTCCAAAGAAGTTAGCCATACTCATCACACAAAGAAATTCAAATCATGACTCTCCTATTCCCAACAATCAAAGAAACTCATCCTTCAACATTAATTAACATTCGAACCATGAATCAAACTAATGCACTTTAAAGCAAAACACATTTGGCTAAGGGTGAAGGTTATGAGCATTGAATGATCTCATTTGAAAAGGGTTTATAATTAGAACAAGGGTTTCTCTCAAAAATGGCTGAACTTGTGCATAATGCTAAAGGTAAAGACAATTGATGCATACATGATTAGATTCTCATCTACCCATGTAAACTAACAAATGATCCTAAACCCCTCTCATTTAATAACTTTTATCCTCACTCACCACTTAGAGTCTACCCTTTTTCTTCACAAAACTTAGCAATCCCCAATTCG